CGCACCGTGCACGGGGGTGGCCGCCGGCAGCCGCAGGCTGTCATACACCCCGCTGCACGATGTATGGCGGGGTGGAGAGGAGGCTCAGGAATGGTCTCATCGCTCCCTACAGCCCCCTGAAAGGAAGTTATAACCAAGCAGGGAACATCCTCTTCTCCCGGGTAACAAGGGACAGGTCAAGAGAACAGAGTCTTAGACTGCACTAGGGGAGGTTGGGGTTGGACATTACAGAGAATTTCTTCGCAGGAAAGGTGATTAGACATTGGAATGGACTGTCCAGGGAGGTGGTGGAGTCACCACCCCTGGAGGTGTTTAAGGAAAGACTGGATGTGGCACTTAGTGCCACAGTCTAGTTGACATGGTGGTGTTCGTTCAGAGGCTGGACTCGATGATCCCAGAGGTCTTTTCCAACCTAATTATTTCTGTGATTCTGTGCCAGCTGGACAGGCCTGCCCCAAGCATCGCCTCCATGACATCGCGTGGACAAGCCCTATTCCCTGCAGAGCAGCTTTCCACACCTTCGTGCCAGGCCCCCCTCAGGGTCCCACCGTGTCCAAGGGCAGCAGGGCCCACTGCAGGAGCACCCACCCTGCAATCCCCTTCTCCAGCAGATGATGCTGAAGCTTACTCTCAGCACCAGCACATCACCTGTTAACATCGCTCAATGGTTGCTTGGAGTTTTCTTAATACACATTCCAAAACAACCCCCCCCAAAAAACACACTATCCCAAATGCAATGAAACCCCACAACACCACATACCTAGCAATGCTGTAAGCAGACACTTTTCTTTAAAACACCCAATGCAGGGCACCCACGGCCATTTTGCTAATAAGGAACAACTGGCACTTTCTCTTAGTGCTCAGCATGTGTCCTGCAAAACAGCATAAAGAGAAGCCATGTCTGCCTTCAAGTAAATCCACATCTTCTTCTTCTTTTGTTCTTATTTTTCTTTTCCCAAGTGTAACATTATTGAAGAGTAAGAGTAGGTTTTGCCTCCAAGTATGTATTATAATAATTAAACACAATAACCAGGTGCTTCTCCTCTGGTAGCTTTGCCATTTTAAAGAGGGCAAGAGAAAAAGTAGTGCAGCCCACCAAGGCAGAGGTGTCACAGTAGGGTCTCTGACAGCAGTTTAACAGGTCCCAAGTTTTGGGCACCGAGGACCATGTCTCAGCTGTGTGTCCTTACAGTACCTGATGAAGTGGGGCCAACAATACCTGCAAACTTGAAGTAAAGCACTGACATGTGCAAGATGGGCATTGCAGCCAGCCAGCCACCTCAGCTCTGCAAAATATCTGTTCTAGACCTTGTCATGAAGAAAATCTGCTTGTTGTGGCTCAAAAGGAATGCAAAAAAAGCCCAAAACACTGTCATTTAAGCAGTCTTCTGTCAACTGAATGTATTGCATCAGCTCATTGTAAGAAATCTAACCCACACCATAGTTCAGGATGCCTGCAGTCGGCATGCAGGTATCTCTTTTAGTTGAGTTCCACTGAAATCTGCCAGCAAGATGCATCGTGCTGTCTGGAAGTTCATCTCCTACTCCACTGACTACAGAAGAAAAGTGGTCCCCTGAACTGGGGCAAACTTGACCTCCTGCCTTTAGCTGACTGTTGAAGTTGAAATACTACCATAGCTAATTTGTTTGAAACAACTGAAACTTCAGCTAGCAAGAGAAGAGAGACAAATTATAAATTTTCCCTAAAAGTCCTCTACTCTTCAGAGATGCTTGATTAGGGTTTGTTGGCAAACAGGCTCCACACAGCAAAGTGGGTTTGGTACATCAGGAATGAATTCCATGGCAAACTGTGAAAGGAGAATACTGTAAAGGGAATAGTAGCTAAAAATTGAATGGGTCAGGTTGGCCACGAAGAGGTCTCAGCAGAAAGACTGTAATGATTATGCTGCTCATTTTTCTAGACCTTTTGATGTGAGCTGCTGCAGGTCGCCTGCCACATTGTTGTGGTTTTGATTCAGTAGTGGAATATGCACCAGGTCCCATGAGCATTCCTCATCCTGCCAGCAACATTTCCCATAAATTTTCATCAGTGAAAAAATCCCACAAAACAACCAACCAAACCAAAACAAAACCCCAGAAGCTAATGTGCAATTGAATCCTGCAGCAGACAATGAAATTATGATTTTAATGTGAGCTAACACACTGACCTTTTGATGTGGCAATAAAGCTGAAGTGGGTTAGTCCACAATGGGGCATTTCCAAGTGGATTGATACATAATACATCCTCTTTCACCACTGTGAGGATGCCTCCTTAGGGAGGATGAATGTAAAAGCAGATTTTTTTAAGCTTCTAGAAATATACTACTGCCGAGCAGTGTTTGTGTTGGGTTCTGGCAAGTCCTTTTAGATATCTAGTGGGTTTCTTTTTTTTTTTTTTTCCTTTTTTTCCGATTACCACTTGTAGGTATATTCCAGAGAAGGTGTTAAGGCCTTCCTTACAAGTTTACACACCTGAGGTTGTGTTTCTTGGTTATCCTTTTATGGATTTATTTGAAGGACCCTGGAATCTACAAATGATCTAAAATGCACAGATCTAAAGCTATGAGGATCAATCCAATTACTGTGTGCTCAATACTGCTCTTCTGCCAGGGAGTTTCTGAATCCATTTAGGTGTTCCCAAAGAAAGAAGCAGGATTTCATTAGAACATTTGTGCACAGCTCCACTGTGATCTGGGCACAAAAATAACATGAATATCACGTCCCATATTCCTCCTACCTTGCAGTAAGTGTATTGCTATGGTCATCTGGTTGTGCTGTCAGGTTTTGTCCTTCTCAGTCACAGCCATTTTGTCAAAGCTATTCTGTAAGGCAGGTAAGAGAAAGGCCTGCTCTTCTGTGGGTGAACTTCACTGTTTTTAAGAGGAGTTTTAAGGTTATTTATGGCTTCAGCTACATAGCCTAAACAAAGAACCATTAAAGCTTCATACCTCCTAAAAAGAAATACTTTAGCAGGAAGCTACACCCTTCCATAAAGGTATTTTTTTATGTTGAAGAGGCTGAGACAGCTTGAAACTCTGAGGTTTAAAAACCTCTTGTTTTCTATTAGAACATACAATGTTCTGCTTTCCTGCTCATTTCATTCAGAGACCTTTTCACAGAATTAACAAGGTTGGAAGGGAGCACAGCGGGTCATGTGGCCCAACCTCCCTGCTCAAGCTGGGCCATCCCAGAGCACATGGCACAGCGTTGCATTCAGACAGCTCTTGAATATCTCCAGTGAGAGATATTCACAACCTTTTTATTTTTAAACAAGGCATGATGCAGTTTAATATGCATTAAGGAGTATTTTTAGGA